CGGGGGGGGGGTGGGAGGGTGTGTGGGGGGGGCGTCCCGCCGCTCTTGCTGGTGCTTCTGGAGTGCTGGGCTTCCGTGAGCGCCCAGGCCGGGGCCACCGTGGCGGTGACGACGGAGGCCCTCAACTCTACGGAGCCAGCCCCGATGACTTTCCGACCTGCCTTATCTCCTAAACCCCTCAATACCCCCAGGGTCCCCGAGCCCTCCTCCGGTCCCAGACCCACCCCGGTCACTGACGGTGGGTACCAAGTGCCAGTTCCTGGGGATTTACAGTGATCCATCCTAGAGGGGGTAGCCCGGGTGAGGATGTAATAATGATGGTTAACGTTTATTGAACACTTACTTTGTGCAAGCATTGCTAAGTGTTCCACAGGCATTATTTCTCTCAACAACCATTGGAGGTAGATGTTATCTTTGTCATACTAATGAAAAAACCGAGGCTCAGAGCGTAAGAGGGACAGTATCACATCTTTGAAAGTACTTGCAGTGGTCGGACAGCGTTAATGCTAAAGGTGATAATGAATGCGTCTTTGCAGTTTTGCAGCCAAAGATGAAATTAAATCGAAAGTTTCTAGACAGTTGTGGAGATTAAATGCATAGGGTGCACCGAACTTTTCACTTATCAAAAAGAGACCCCAAACGTTTAGCTTACTAAATGTGACTAGGTCAAGGCCCTTGTCTGTTGACTTGAATTATGAAAACCCAGGACTCCTCTTGTTGAATTGGAGGTAGGAAGTTATGGGGTGAGGGGTTATGCTCACTTCTTAGGATTCATCCTTAAAGATAATTAAGATATTTCTCAGAAAGTGGTCTAATTCTGGAGTTACATGTTTATTGACTATTTTATAAGCTGCTTTGACATGGATGAGTTCAGGGGATGTCTGTGATCCCTAGATTGAGCGCAAAATTTTGTGAATATGTATTTTTTGGGAAGCGAGGGTTTATAGCAGTGAGCAATTTCTCAAAGGGGTTTGAAATCTTGAAAAAAACTTTTAAGTCCTCTGACTGTAACCCCAATAGATGGGCAGTATTTTTTATCCCTTCTTAAGAGGCAAGGATATTTTTTAAATTAAAAAGGCTTAGTAAATAGAAAAGTCATCATTGGCTGACATCCTGAATTCTAGGACATAACTTCAGTTACTGAACCTTTATTTCTCCAAAGGGCCTCCTTTATAAATTTCGAGTAGCGTATAAGAAAAAGTACAGAAATATATTTGCAATTTCAATATATAAAAAACAAACTCTGTTTTATATTGAAACTTGATTTGATGAATTAATAGAAAAGTTAATGATAAATTGGGACAATACAGCAGAGTATTCAAGGCTTGAAATTCTCTAATATTTTTGGACTGGGTTATCTTTTATCCTTATAAGTATTACATCTGTTTATGAATTTTCTCCCCCAAATCAAATGTTCTTGAACCATCATTATTAGGGCATGTGTTCAGGGCTGTTTTTCCAGGATGGGAGATGAATTTGCACTTCATCTTTTTTTTTTTACACCTACAGCACCTGGTCTTCCTAGGTGGTCTCCCATCCAAGTACTAACCAGGCCCAACCCTGCTTTAGCTTCCGAGATCAGACGAGATCGGGCACGTTCAGGATAACATGACCGTAGACCACATTTCATCTTTTTAGAAGGGCCTCTATTTAGACCCATTTACTGTGTACCAGGCACTCCGTAAGCATTTCATCTGTGATATGTCTCGTTTAATAACAACCCTGTGATGTGGGTTATCCCTATTTTTTAGATAGGTGAATTGTCTGATTTTAGGTCACACCCCTGGTACATGATAGAGCAAGAAGCTATTCTGAGTGGAGAACTGGACAACCATTTGCAGAATGGGTTACAGATGGAAGAGAAGAATGATAATTTTCGTCGTGAATCTGAACTCTGTTCATTAGTAGTTCCCTGCTCTATATGCCAGGCATGTGGATGTTAAGAGAAGTAGAAGAGCAGCTGAGTGCTACTTAGACCCTGCGAGTGCTTATCAGACACTTATATCCTGGACAGAGACCTTTTTTTCTAAGTGGAGTTATTAGATACTATTGCTTTGTCCTTGGTAATTTTATAGCTACCTACAAGACTTTTAAGTTTTGGAAAAATCGGGATTGTAATTTTAAACATATAAGGAAGGGAACCTAAATACTGCTTATTTTATATATTAACATACACGAGTTGCATTACCGTTTTACTGAGCACATAGAGGAATCCTTGACTAGAGAGAAGCATGTAAACTTAAGGAGAAAAACTTTCGTGTCTCAGACTAAGAAAGGATTGTATATTTATTGACAAAACCTTCCTCTTCTAATACACTTTTTCAGAGTATGTTATTGTACCTTTTTTGAGCTATATTTTTCTAAAACTCATTTTTATTGTGAAATAATTCATACATGCAATAAGAATGTGGTATGGGCTCTCTACCAGCATTTACTTGAGATCGTTTTTTTGTTTTGTTTTTACATGAAATTCTTTTTTGAAAAAAGAAACCTTACAGGTAAGATTGAAGCACTGATTTATTCCTTTCTACCCAGCACTAATTACTACCATGAGTTCAGTGTTTATCATTCTCATGATCTGCTATTTCTTTAAAAGGGTTTTCCCTGCTTTTTGACAGAATAAAATGGGGAATTAAAAATCCAGATAGACATCATTAAAAATGAAAAGTTGCTGAGTGGGGAGATTCCTAACCCTCCCCATGCTTTATTGTCTTAAATTGCCAAAGATATTTCTAGGACCCCAAGTACAAAGCACCTGAGTCGATTTTACTCATAGTTTGTTGATGTGGGCTCAGCTTCAAAGCTGCAGGTGACATCTGAGGAGAGGTACAAGGTTGAGAATCTTGATTCCTGTTGCCCTTAAGTGAGCCCTTCCTCTGAATCAGAATCTCCAGAGGAGGAATTTGGGAATCTGCAATATGAAACTGGTGGTTCTTGTGGTCAGGCATGCTGGTTCTTAAACCTGTTTTAATTATCAGCATCACCTGGAAAGTTTTTGCGCAACACAGATGTCTGGGTTTGACAGCTTGCCAAGTCAGAGTCTGTAAGTAGAGCACAAACGACTTTCCAAGTAGGTCAGATGATTAGCCACTTTGAGGAAATCCCAGATTGAGGAGTGCTCATACTAATTTTCACTTCACAAATTTCCCCCAAAGTGCAATAGGAAAAATCAAATGGACCTTTTGTATGAAAAGGATATTGGGTACATCTCAGTGGTAGGGGGCACTACCTGCTGATCGTGATGCTCAGCATCCCACCTCTCTTGTTTCTGTAGTTGCTGCTCTGTGTGTGTGTGACCTGTTTCCAGTACAGTGTGACGTCAACTGCTGTTGTGACCCTGATTGCAGCTCCATGGATTTCAGTGTCTTTTCTGCTTGCTCAGTTCCGGTTGTCACGTAAGTTTGTGGCACATGCAATTTTGATAAAATTTGCACTGAGGTTATCAAATTTCAGGACAGAAACTCCCCCAAGCTGAAAAACCCAAACTTGATTTCCTGAATTTTGCATCATTCAGAAGCCATGCTGTCCAAACCAATATATAGAAGAATATCCATCCCTTATTTGCATCCAGCCAGATGATAGTGTAAGCAAAAGAGTATACTTTTTAAAAAGAGTATAACAAAAACCCCTGTTTCGGAGACTGAATTACATTTCACTTTGATGTGTAAACACATCATGTGTCATGTTTTTGTATCAGTGAATTAGTTTTATTTCTAGCCAAGGGTGAAAGTTGCAGTTTAGTTTTACAGCTTTTGTTGTGAACATAGTACTTGTAACAAAAGTTTAAATAGATAGTCAGGAAAGCTTTGTTTATACTTTTCTGATATGTAAATCTACCAGGAATTCTCACGGTTCACATTGTATAGGATAATGGAAAATGTCATTCCCGTGGTTTACAAGGGAAAGGAATAATCTCTTCTGAATGATCTGTTTCTCGTAATTCAGATTTCAAAGCTTTTTGACAAAACAGCACTTAAAGAGGTTAATTTATTCAGGATGAGCCCAATATATTCAGAGGTAGCTAATTTAAATTTAACCTTGAAGCAAGTTGTAGCAGCTGATACTTGATAGATTGAATGCTTTTTGGAAGTGCATGTGTATTTTTCCCATGAGAACCTATTTTATTGACTAATGAGAAATTGAATCAACTTCTAATATTGCAAAAATGCTTGGAGAATGAAATGTAGTCAGATTATTTTTTCTGGCTACCTGGACTGTAACATGGTTTAGTTTTTGCTGAAAATGGTCTTGCTTTCCTGACTCAGTAAGTACCAAGAGCCTGAGAGTGAGATTTCTGCTCCAATTTGAGATCATTATTTAGAATGTCGATTCTTTTTTTTATTAGCCAATACTGTAATTTTAGATATAGACTAGAGTGGGGGTCAACAAGCTTTTTCTATGAAGGGCCACATAATAAGTATTTTCAACTTCGCAGGCTGTGTGGTCTCTGTTGCAAAATCTCAGCTCTACCATTGTCGAGCAAAAGCAGCTGTAGACAATTTATAAATGAATGGGCATTACTATGTTTAGAAGTTAGAGTTGAATCCATAGTGCCCTCAGGAAAGGACCTCAGCATTTTTTTGAGTTAGTTTTGCTTGTGACTTTCTCCTAAATATGAAGTGTAGAAATAGTGAAATCAAAACTTATACTCCTAATTAATTGAGTGTGCTTGTGATGTAGGTTCCAATTCATAAAAGGCTTATTTACATTCGCTTAACTGTCAACAGCTAATCCTATCATCTAATAAATGTAAATTAATCGTTAAGACTATTGGATTAATGCCTGTTTTTCCCATGAGATGTAAGCTTCGTGAGAGTAGGAAGAATTATTTCTTTTATATATAGCATGTACTCCTAGTGCCTAGCACAGCTCCTGCCACATAGTTGGCCTCATTAAAAATGATTGAACAAGTGACTGACTTTCTCCCTTCCACCCCAACTAACCCTCTAGTATTGCCTTTTGACTTCCTATACTGTTATTCTTACAGGCAGACACCCAGGCCAGAAACCTGGAGGCTGCCCTGACTCCTGCCTCTGCCTTGCTTTCTCATCCCTAGGCTCTCTTTCACACTTCACCATGCCTTTCTTGAGCACCTCCTGTTGCCAGCACCAGAGATATGAAGATGCGTTAGACACAGTCCTCACTTCCAAGAGCTCGTTGAGTAAGGGAGACGGGTGAATAGATGGCAGTTTCTGCACCAGGCGCTAGGAGGACTCAGAGGAATGGCATCTAACCCAGACAGTTGCTCTTGGGAAGGCTTTCTAGAAAAGATGATGAGCTGGGTCCTGAGGGAGAAGTAGAAGTTGGCCAGCATGGAATCAGGGGAAGGGCATTCAAGGCAAGTGAGCCGCATGGCAGAGTCCTGGGAGTGAAGGAGTATGGCCCGTTGGCTTAACTGCAGGTAACTCAGTGTGGCTATAGGAGGGTGGAGAGAGGGGAGTGTGGGGAGGTGGTGGGGTCCCCAGATCCCAAGGAGCCTTGTGTGTATGCTGAGGTGTTGGTCTTGGATTCTACAGGGGGCTGGGGAGTGAGGGGATCAGATTCCCATCTTATGAAATTCTGCAGCAGCATGGAGGATGGGTCACAGAAACCAAGCCTGGTGGCGGGGAGCCAAGTAAGAAGCTATTGCCGGTGGGGATGAATAGATATCCACCACCCCAAAGGCTGTGACAGTGGGATTACAGAGAAATATGCAGATCTGAATCTGATTCTGATTTAGAGGATTAGAGAGCTGTCAGACTGGAGGGGGAGGAGTGAGGAGGCCCATTCTGCTGAGTCTTCCTTCATGGAGACCCTTGTGTTTGTCCATTCCGACTCCCTTTACTTTATAAGCTCACACGTTGTCACTTACTTGATAAAAAAACCTTCAGAAACTTACACTAAGTACAGACTCTTTAGCCTGGATTCAGATACATCTTCAACCTCTTTCAGATCTGTTTCCTACTGACCCATCTCAGATCCTCCACCCAGCCCAGCTTTGGTACTCAAAGTTTCCCAAACACCATCAGTGTATTACCCATCCTTGGCCAATGCTATTTTTGCAGTTAGATTAGCCCCTTATTTCTTCTCTGATTCCTACTGATTTTTTCAGGCCCAGTAGGACTTGTAAATTTTTCAGTGCTGGATCTTTTCTCATAAATACTAATTACTATTGTTTTTTGTTTTTTTTTTCAAAAAATATTTTTTATGCCCATGATAACAACTGATATACAGACTATTTGGAAAAGTGGCCTGTTATAAAATAAATCCGTAGCTTCCTTATACTTCAGCAATAACCATGCAAAAAAATACAATGGAAATGGATTCTATTCATAACACCAGTAGAAACATAACATATAATTAGGAATGAATTTAACTATTCAGAATTTATATGAAAACTTCAAAATATAGTGACAGAACATTTGAATAAATGGAGAGATATTCTATGTTGGGATGAAGAGAATCATTACATAAACATTTCAATTAATTTATAAGAATTTATAAATGTAATTCCAGTCAGATGGGAGAGGGATGATGTGTTAAAATGATTTTAAAATTCATCTGGAAGAACAAACAGATGAGAACAGCCAAGAAGTTATTGAATAAGAAGAGCAAACTACCAAGTTTCAAACATGTAATACAATGATAATGAAAATAATGAGTATTGATTCATGACAGATCTCTAGGTAAGTCAGTGGGAGAGAATAGAAAGGCTGAAAATCAATTGTGAGTACCAATTTTGTACACAGTAAATGACATAGGATGAGTAACTATTGAAAAATAAAAAAACATTGGATTCCTGCTTCGTAGCATGAAACCAAATTACCAATAGATTGAAAAGTGAAATATTTTTAAAAATTAATGAATGAATGAAAAATGTAGATGAGAGTTTTATACTTGGATTAGGGAATGTCTTTTAATCATAAATCCTCAGACAAACTATAAAAGAATGACAAATTAAAAAAAATCAAATTTTACCTCAATTAAAGGAAAGAGGAATATGATTGTAAAAAAAGAACTAAAATTTCTATCTGGCAAAAAACACCATAAAATTGAAAGGTAACAAACTGGGAAAAAATATGACACATGTCACTCAAAGGAGATTCTTCAATATGGATTCTCACAATTTAATGACAAGACATTCTAATTAAAAAACATTCTAATTAAAAAAAATGGTCAATAGATGTGAACAAGCAACTAACTGAAGAAGTACCAGTGAGCCATAACCACATGGAAAAACGTTTCACCTTGCCAGTAAATGAGAAAATTTAAATTAAAATAATGAGGTAACAGGTTTTTGCCCATGAAATTGACAGAGTATTTATAATTTGGATAACATCCAATCTTGGCAAGAGTACAGGGAAATAGCACTCTTGGTACATTACAGTGTTGGTGACGGTGCATCTTGCCTTTCTGGAGGGCAGTCCGGCAGTATGTCTGAGAAGCCTTAAACAACGCACCTACCTTTTGACCCAGCAGTTCTACTTGAGGGGATACAGCCTAAGGAAATAACTGGAGACGTTCATAAAGATGTGTGCACAAGGATGTCATTATAGCATTATATATAGCTGAGGATAATTAGAAACGGCCTAGACCAATAGTAGAGGATTGGTTAAAAAAATATTGGAGTATCTTAATAGGTTGGTATACAGTGACATTTAGTATAACATTGCCAAAACGTATTTGATGATGTGTAAATATTAGGCCATATACATTAAGTGAGAAAAGGCCTCAAAGTAGTATGTGGAATATGATCCCATTTTTGTTCTGGTTCTATCTCCATACCATATTTATGACCGTATCAAATTGATTAGGCTTTGTCAAGGCTGGGATTGGTCGAAGACTTGACTGTACCATAACTTCTAAGCCTCAAAACTTCCAGATGACTTCACATTTTCTCATTTTCACAATCCTTCCAAGATGGCTTTGTTCTAAAGACAAGGAATATTTGTTCCCTCCCAGTTACTTATTATAAACAATCTGAAGTTCTGCAAAATATTATAGAATTGATTCTGTCAGAGTTTACAAAGTTCATTTATATCAAAATCATACCCTGATCTATATTCCAGATTTGACAAGATTTCCTTGAAGGTTATTCTCCTTGTCCTAATATTTTCCTTGTTAGAGGAAAAAGTTTCAAATGCCAAATATTTTAACACTGAATAAACTAAATGGATTCAGTTCTAACACTACACTTTTATAAATATTCTCCATGTAGTTAATATAGTACAAGCGTCTGACTATTTTAAAATAATCTTAACTAAGATTGTGTGTTTGTGCTTTAAAACTTTGTGTTATTATTTTTCTAATTTTCAGGGGTGATAGTCAGTTTTGTAGCCAAAAAGCAGCCATCTATTCATTGAATTTTACAGCAAACCCACCTCAGAGAATATTTAAACTTGTCGACCAGATCAATCCATCTATTTTCTGCATTCATATTACAAACTGTAAGTATTAGATGGTGATATACTTTGTGAAACTCTGAAATTTTTTCTTTTAAAAATTCTTTTATGGAAAAAGGTCCCATTTACTTAGATTTAAAGGAGTCACTCTGTGGTTTGGCTAGGTTGTATGTATCTTCTGAGGCTGTTTCACAGACAGCTGTAAGTAACTTTATAGCCTGTGGGCATGCACTTTCTTTTTAGAAGTAATTGTGCTCATGTAGTTGTCTTTTGAAGTTTCATACTCTATTTCAAAGGTGTTTATGATATGTAGATGTACATAGGAATCTAGATTTATTTAGGTGTATGTGGTATTTTTTTGCTTTATTTCCTCCTGGTTTAATGGTTGAAAATCAGGTTCAGCTTTGGTTTCAATTTCCTTTTTTTCTCTTTTATTTTTACTTAGAATATTTGCATGAAAACAGGATCTTTATTTTTATCTGTGCATTTGGCTCAAATAGGTGTCTAGATCCAAAGCACACATAAATGTAAAATGTTATCAAGATTTCAAAGATCAGAGACACATTTATGGTTTTATCAATTAAACTTCATCATTTTTTCAGAATGTCTTCATATTTAGCTTTTATCTCTTTGCAAATGAAAACTTAGGTGAATGCTCTGTGATTTGTAATCTGAAGTAATGACTGGTCAGTCATTGTCACACTCTCTGACATAACACCAGCCCAGTGAATATACCCACTTGCTGCCTTCTTCTCCCTCTTCCGTACACAGCACATAGCCTCCCGGGCTTCAGAGGTGGCTGTGTGAGAGTCGAATCAGCGTCCTTCATTCCCACAGCCATCTGGAGAGAGCTTCTCCCTTGGGGTTTACGCAGCTGGCTCCTCAGTCCATGGGTGGAGAAAGAGACTGATTATTATTATCATCTTCTGTTGTGCTGTTTACCTGTAGGCTGTGGAAGCCATTGCTTCCACACTGGTAGAGAAATAGGCCAATTCTGAGGCTCCTGTTTATTTAATCATATTCAAGAAATCTTGAGGGTAGTAAATATATAAAGAGACACTTTGTTTTTTTCATGTCAGCCTTAATGCTCCTAAAAACCGTTTCAGAATATTTTATATGCTATACATAATATACGTGTCTTTTATACTGATCAGAGATTCTCTTTCTAAAAACAGATAAACCTGCATTATCCTTTATTAATCCAGAAGTGCCTGATGAAAACAATTTTGATAAATTGATAAAATCATCTGATGGTTTTTCATGGAATGCAGAATCAGATGTTTCTATCACAGCTGAATCAGATACTCCAAATACTTCTAAATATGAGGTGAGTCAAGAACCTAAGTCTGCTCATCCTGTTGCAAATATTCTGTTCTTGTAAGTTAAATTTTCAGTTTATGCCCAGTAAAATTGGCTACCTAAGACATAGAATTCATATTATACATACCAAAAAAAACCCTTCATATTTGTGCCAATTAATCAAAGATCATGAAAATTAAAATCGAATAGTTGAATCCTAACAGAAGGTTTGAAGTCATTTATTCCTTGGTAAGCTTGCATTTATCTCTGCAGAATTCTTTGTTTTTCTCCACCTCAGATGCTGCAGCAAAGCGCTGGAGGCGTGCTGCTGGGAACACAGAGTGGATTGGTCCTCTTCTCGGTCCTCTTCTCAAAGCTGTATTTAGTTGTACAGACTTGGGGAAGATGTGTGCTATTTTTATCTATTCATTAGTAAACCTTAAGTGTGATATTCATTAACTTTGACTAAACTTCAAATTTTTCAGAAGCGTCTTTTTAAAAGAGAAGTATAAAAGCAACATATGCTAGTTCTAAAAGTTAAAAGTCCATGGGTACATAAATAGAAATACAAAGACCCCTGTCTCCGTTAAAATGCCCACTGCACATCACTGGTGACAGATTGGTATATGTTCCTGATCTTAGATGCATCTATATGCATGTAGTACTGTACAGAAGTGGGATTTATAGAGCAAAGCTATTCACATTGTTCTTTAAACTTTTTTTTCTATTCAGTGATAAGTCTTATGCATCTTCCCATGTCAATATAAAAGTTATCATTTCTTGAGCATTTTCCATGGGCCAGGCATCATGCGGAGCCTCACACAACTCAGAGAGGGACACATTATTGTCCCCATTTAAGTAATGAGAAGTCTTCGGTATGGGAAAGTAACTTGTCAGAGCTAGTGTTGGAGCTCTATTTTACTGATACAAAGTTTTCCTTCTGTGTATGTATCATCAATTATTTTTGAGCTGTTCTGCTTTTAACAGGCATTTGTTTCCAGTTATTTCTATTATAAATAATACACACTGAACATTCTTATAGATACATACATATTCATCTGATTAAATCCTTCGGATATGTTCCCGTAAATGGGTCAACTTGGTCAAAATGAAGGGAAATTGAAAGTATTGATACCAGAGTGCCCTCCAGAAAGATCGCAGGAGTTTACACTCCAGCTCCAGGGAAGGAGAGGGCTTGCTTCCCCAAAGCCTTGCTGGCACCAAGACATTTGGATACTTTCAAACTCAAGAAAATTAGCTCTATGCCCAGTAGTTACATATTTTGTATATTAAGGGAAAATTTCATGGGGTTCGCTTTTGGGAAAGAAAACATAGATCTATGTTATAATTTTAACTGGTACAGTATATGTATCTGTTATTTAAATAATTATTACTAGTGAAAAATAATTACCTCTCTCACCCCTGTTCCTGAGCACCGAGTTCCTGTCTACAGAGGCAGACACCTATGTCAGCTTCTTCTGTACCCCTCCGGAGGAATTCTTTAATAAGAAGTCCTGCAAATACAGTAACACGCACACAGAAACACACATCCTTAAAGGAGAAGGGCAGGACAGCTAGATGGAAGCCCCGCGCGGCGGGGACCACATCTGAGTTTTGTTCCTCACTGTGTTCCTGGCACCCGCACTGCTGCCTGGCGCGTAGTAGGTGTCCAATAAGTGTCTAATAAATGCCTAACATCGCTAACAGCTCTCGGTGGTTCTGTTTGCAGTATGGGGTTCCTCTGCAGACTTCAGATTCATTTTTGAGATTTCCTTCTCCCCTTACGTCATCTCTGTGCAGCGATAATAACCCTGCAGGTAAGAGAGTGGGCAATGTTCTTTCTATAAACAGTTTACTCTTAGTTTAAATTTATAGTAGTTATAACGAAACACATTTCACAACTAGAAACAAGGAGTCTTGGAGCTGAAAGAGGCCTCGAAGGTTATGGAGTTCAGGGTCTCACCTGCGCCGGAATCTTTCCTGCCACACACTTGAGCACTTGCAGTGACGGGACGCACAGTCTGAAACCAGCCCACTCAGTTGCTTAACAGTTCCAGTTGCTGGAAAGTTCTTTCTTCACTAGAGCTCAAGTTCATCAGTAGCTAACATTTATTAAGCACTTACTGTGTGCTGGGTATGCTGTTAAATGCCTCTAAGGTGGGGTTATTGTCATTTAGATAAGGAGACTGAGAAATGTTCAGGTTCTTGCTGAGGCTCACTTAGGTGGTGGTGGAGCAGGGAGGGGTGTCACTCATGTGCCTGCCTCCTGTGGGTCCTGCTTCTCCTCTCAGGATCTGTGGAGTAATCCTTTCGGCAGGGGAAGACACCAGGCCTGGCTCTCCCACGTGCACACCAGCCTCACTGTGAAGAAGCTAGCCAAGTAATAGATGATAGCTTGTGGCTTAATGAAGCATCGTTTGATACATGAAGGAAAATGTATTCAGTTGAAAAGATGCTTAACCTTGTTTGCAATAGGAACAGTGTAACTTAAAACCAAACCGAGGTACCATTTCCATCGAATGGATTGGCAAAGCTTAAGTAATGTAAGACTTTGCAGAAGCAGGCACATAGCTGGGGTACTACAGGTTGGTGCAATGTCTGTTTAACAACATGCATGAAAACTGCAAACGAGTTTGCCCTCGGACCCAGCTGTTCTACTTCTAGGAGCTGATCCACAGGAACTCTGGCCCACATGCAAAATAATAGATCGTAGCACTGTTTGTGACAGCAGAGCTAGAGGCAGCTTAAAAGTCCGCTAATGGAGAACTGGTTATTCCTTAAAAAGGGAGGAGGAAGCTCTTCAGGTACTGAGATAGGCTGGACTACAAGACAGATTGTCCAGTGGAAAAAAACAAAAGGCAGGATATATATTGTGCATTTGTTTCTGAAAGAGGAAAGAAGTACTAAATACATATATATACATATACGTATATATATACACACTTTTATTTGCATAGAATATTTCCAGAAAGATACACAAGAAACTTTATGCCGATTGTCTCTGGAGACGTGAACTGGTGGTAGCTGGGGTGCGGGATGACAGATGGTGGAGGAAGACGACTCCCAATACCTTTTTGTGCCCTTTGAATTTCGAATCATGGGAATATATTACCTATTTGAAAAATAATTTTTAAATCTGATTCTGAACATGTTGTATATCTGTCATAACTTATTTTGTGGTTTCACTTACACTACAATTTTTTAGTTACCATTGGACTCTCTCTTTTTTTTTTCTCCTTGGGAATGTTATGATTTCCAGCATTTTTGGTGAACCAAGCTGTTAAGTGCACCAGAAGGATAAATGTAGGACAGTGTGAAGAAATTGAAGCCCTGAGCATGGCCTATTACAGCAGCCCTAAAATTTTGAGGGTAAGAATTATTTTGAAGTGAAACTGATTCATTAAGTTTGTTTTCTGTTCTTTGCGCCCTTAAAATATGACAAATATAGCATAATTTCAGTATATGAATGACACTCAAATTTAAATTTTTCTTCAGTTCTTTGGTATACTGATACCGAAGATAATGAGAAAATCACTTAAAATAATTTCTGTTTTTATATCATTAGCTCATATTTTGCCTTTCCTCATTTTTTCTTGTTTCTTTCATTCATTTCATTGGTAACCAATAATGCCTGTCTCCTGAATAAAAAACTTTATTAATAACCCAAAACTTTAGCACTTATAAAATCATCTTAATGTGTGATAAAAATAATCAGGTTAGCACCAAAAAGATATCTTTCTGAGAAACAGGCCATAGAAGAATAGAAAATCCACTTTCTGGTTGGCAGATGGAACGCGCAGCCGGGAAAAGACAGGACATAGGATTGCTGGAGAAGGGAAAGGAGGCCCTTTCCTTCCTGGTTGCCGTGACTGAAGCCGCAACTGAATAAATGAGGCCGTTGGCCTCACTTGGTAGATGACATGGAGGGTCACAGGGGAGAAGATATTTTTCAGTGATTAAAAACTGTATTATTATTGTGAAAGCCCCACTCTCCTGATTTCCTTTTTTGAGGGGGTGAGGGGTAGGGGTGGTGGCCATGGCACCAGTGCCCATCTGGGCTTCAGTTTTCAGAATCAGGTTTAACTTTTTTCCCTCCCCTCCCTTCCCCTCTCTTCTCATAAGTCAGCCATCTAGGCCTGTGCATTCTTCCAGTGGGTTTGACTTCTCAGTTTTCTGGAGGTAGCCCCTCAGGCGTCTCTCTGCACAGGCCTCCCCAAACGCGTCTGTCTACTCATCTCTCTCCCGCAGGCTCCCATTGGCCTAATAGGGTGGCTGCCTTGTGATTAGAGACGTGAGTGAGGTTGAGGGAGATAGACTGGAGTGAAGGGAGGCTGAGACCTTCAGGAAGAGCTCTGGCTGTGGCAGGGCGGCCGGCACTCGGCCTCAAGGGGCTTGGGCTAGAGGCAGGAAGCCACGCTGGGAGGCTGTGGGAATGACCTGGGTGCGATGGTGTCCCAGAGAACACAGATGCAAGGAGAGTGACTGGGAGGATAGCAGCCTTGTCTTCCCCACGGTGCCGTGTCACTGATGACCATATGGGAAGTACCCAACAAGCACACTGAAGCGGGGCAGCTTCTGATCTGAAGGAGGTAGATCTAGGAGGAAAATATAGAGTGGCCCCTTCGGTTATGGCAGAGATACAAAAATGTGTAGATGGCAGGTCTCGATTTAGAAAACTACTTTCCTCTTTGTGAAGTCTTCAACAAGATGAATATGCCCCCTAACATACGGTCTGAAAAAGCAATAAAAATGCTTCTTTTTGTTGTACTTTTTAACAAAATTTATTGTTTCTTTTTGTCTAGGTGCCTAATTCAGTAACAGAGGTAAGATTATTTCTTAATGGAAAGTTCGTTTATAATACATGATCTTATTTTCAAGCCCTTTGAAGTGAATACACGTATGATTAGAAGGGAGCCTTACTGCCCAAAACAAAAACATGTCAAAAAGCAAGCAGAAATGAAGCAAGGAAACTCCTTAATAGATGACCCTTTTGTAATCACAAATCGGTGTGATCGCCTTCTGTGCTTTCAGGGTACCCCGAAACCTTCCCGGGTCCTTGTCAGGATTGCTGGCCCGCTCCCGGGTGCCGTCTGTCCAGTCTGGAAGGCAAGACATTTTACCCAGTGAATATACACACTTGTGTGGCATGTGGGTGCTCTCAGCGAAGCCTTAGGGGTTGAGTTGTGGGTGGGTTGTCAAGGCCTTATTGCCCGCAGCTCAGGGGCTGTGTCAGGCCGTGGTGAGGGGGCCCACGTCTTCCTGTGGATATGTCAAGATAAGGAACATGGCTCCCTCTTATTCTTGGGTCTACGCCCTATGCCTGCCTGTGAGTACAGGTGATGGCCTATCATCATCTCCCAAAGAACTGTGGGATTGGCCTTGTCTGAAAACTTAGCTTTGCCATTGCTTTCTTGTATAACACGCATCTCAGTCTCCCCAGCTGTCAAGCAGATGGTCAGCCTTGAAACTCACGAGGTGCTCTGTGCAGCGTCTGGCACACAGGGAGCACTCGGGACAGCGATGCCTGCTGTAATTGATTTCATTAAGTCTCTGGACACAAATGTGTTGGAGGTAGATATTTGAAGGAAATAGTCATTTGGCTTTCAACTTCACACTACTGTGTGTGGGCCTGGATTTCCTCACATGCGAAGGTGTTTTCCAACTTATTTAGTTACAGGATTTCTTCAAATGAGATCTGAAGCAGAACTCTCCCTGACGTGTACATGGTTGGACTCTGAAGCCCCTGATTGCAGCAGGGGTGGGGGCCAGGTGCTTTCCACTTGCCCAGCCTCCCCATTTCTGCCCTCTTCGGTCCCTCTGAGGAATCCTACAGCTCCCAGGAACCCAGTCAGAAATTCGTATTATAGAGTAGCTCTCAGATACCTCCACCCACTAGAAAGTGCTTTGATTTTACCGTTCAAAGTTTGAACCATCTGTGGGAGCAGTGGCCCTGTCCATGCTATATTCTTGGTACTAGGGCGGTGCCTGGTATGTTCTGGACACCCAGTGGGTTATGTGTTAAATGAATGAATGACTAGTGGATTGGTTCAATCAAGTAGAAGACTATTATGAGAAATAATGGGATGTTACAGAAAGGCACAGACTGGGTGCCATGCAGCATCCATGTGCTGTCCATGCCAGCCATCCTTCAGTAATCTCGGCAGTCCTAGGAGAAGGTCCTGTTACTGTCACTCTGCTGCATGAGTCATAGATGAGTTGCTTGCCTGAGGCTATCCAGCAGGGAAGTAGCAGAGCTAGGACAGGAATCCAGGCTCTCTGGCCCCACATACCTTATTCTTAGCCATGACGTTGGACTAGCTGTGTGTCATGCCTTGATTAACAAGCTTCAAGCACGTTCTCATTGCATCTTGTGGCCAGGCAGTTGGAAGTGGTGGGCTGGGGCTTTCAACTCGGATCTGCGTGACATTAAAGCTTGTGCTCTGAAACACAAGCGTGTCATCTAATATCAGAGATTTGCTTAAATTTTTTTAAAAAGCAATTTCTAAGGCCTGTTAGAGGATCAGGAATACAAAGGTTGGATCCAGTCTCCCCATTAAGTGAAGCCTGTTATAATTGCCTGGAATCATTGTCAATATCTGTGGAACCATCGGTGAAAAATTAATTTGTGGCCTTATAGTTTCACTGTTAAGGATGCTTTAGTTCTTTGCCAGTGGGTAGTTTGGGGATGGGATATGGTTGCATAGGACAGTCAGGAAACCAGAACAAGTCTCCCATTTTCGTTCTGCTGACCGTTGCAGTGGGTGTTGATAGACGAGTGCAGCTCTTGCCACTTTCCATCGCTCTTTCCAAAACTTGTCTAAACGGGACCCTTCGGTTTCTGCCAGCCACACCCGCACACCACGGGAACGGCGGCATCAGAGGCTGGTATGGAATAGTGAGCCCTTTTGTGGAACCCAGTGTCATTGCTGAACGAGGGATCCGCGTGTTCAGATAAAGGGATCCAGAGTTGTCTTGATGACTTACGCTTAAGGGCTAATTCACTCCTAGCGTGAGACCCGACGTAACTCTGAAACCCATTGGTGTGACTTGTTGTGCAGAGGGCCTTGTGGTGATTGGTGTTACCCTTCTGCCACTTTGTCACATGTGACATCTTTGCTTCTGAGCCACGTCATGTTCTTACATGAGAGGCTTGACTTATAAGCACAGTTGCAGGACTTCTTGGTCATGGTTGCAGACATGTAAAATCTACTTAATTATCTATAAAAATAACAACTTAAATACTTAATAATTTTGAATTATAAACAACATGACATATGATTGAGGCCAAAGTTCAAAACAATATAAACAGCTAGATACAAGTTAGGTTCCTCCTTAAACAGTGATTTCTAAGAGTTGACATTTAGAACAATTGTCAGATTTGTTGTACAGTATGAAGAGGCCCAACTAGGGATTCAAGCCATTTAAAGAATTGCTTGCTGCTTTGTCACTCTGCTGGTGATGGCCATAAATGAAAAATGTCCTTTAATGGCCCAGGGCTTCCTGATTCTGCTTAAAATTCTTATCTTTGCTCTTACCCATGATCACATCACTCTGTGTGTGTGTAAAATGTAAGCCTGTGGAGAAGTTGTGTATAAATTGGGTCGAGTGTATATTCAGAGAGGGTGTGGGTCTTTAGGAGGCTGCACCGTGGGACTGTGTGGAGAATGTGTGTGTGTGTACAGAGCAAGTGTGTTTATCAGTAAGAGCTGTGTTTTGGAGATGAGAGTTTATACGTATTTGATGGTGGGATAGAGTTGTGTACGTGTGTGTGCGCGCGCATGTGTGTGTAAGAGCTAATTCACATACCATAAAACTCACCATTTTAAAGCATACAATTCAGTGGTTTTTTGTGGACTCCCGTGGGTCTGTGAACCATCACCATTATTTAATTCCAGAACGTTTTTATCTGAAAAAAGAGCCTGTGCTCATTAACAGTCACTCTTCATTCTTCTGCAGCACCGTCCCCCAGCCCTTGGCAACCACTGATACAATACTTTCTGTCTCTGTAGATTTACCTGTTCTGGACATTTTCTGTAAATGGAATCATATGATATGTGACCTTTTGTGTTTGGCTTCTGTCACTTAGCATAATGTTTTCAAGATTCATCTATGCCGTATTATAGTGTTTATCAGTACTTTATTCCTTTTTATGGATGAGTAATATTCTTTCGTATGGAGGTACCACCTTTCATTTATCTATTCATCAGTTGATGGACATTTGGGTGGTTTTTTGTTTGGGCTATTGTGAATGCTGCTTTGAACATTCACATACAGGTTTTTGTGTGAACGTATGTTTTCAGAGGTAACCACTTTTAAAGTTTTGGTTGTATCAAGTATTTTCTATGTAAATGTACATACGCATTTACATAGAAATATCTGTCTTTTTGCAAACGTGGAATTATAGTATGCCTATCGTTCTATACCATGCTTTTCCCTACTTGGCAGTGTATCGGTGGAGGTTCGTTTCAAGTGTTTTGTTTGTTTTAACCTGTTCACCTCTTGCAGAGTGTCTTTAGTAATCCAGGACTTTACTTTGCAGGTCCCTATCACTGTTCAGTCCATTGTCATTCAGTCTATCAATAAAACTCTAACACGACTGGAAGACACGGACACATTGAAGCAGGCTCTTGTCGAGACTGGGGCTGTTAAAATCTGCACTAAGGTCGTTCTAGAGGTAGGTGCCCGATTTGGCCTTGAAAGCTCGATATTTGTGGCAGACTCAGGTTTCATTGTCCTGGGGGGTTAACTGGACTCTCTCCAAAGGGGGTTCTGGCCCACACTGTGGTACTGCTTTTCTTGACTTGGCCTCCTGCCTGCCTTTACGCTATCCCATCAGAGGATGCTTCTTTGTCTCTGCAGTAATCATGTGTGATTTTTTTTCACAAACCTAGTGACTTACAAGAATACATCACAATTTGTTGTCGCTGTTGTTTTAACATATTTCCTCTGCAGATATAGATGATTTGATTCTGCCCAGACCAGATGGTTTGGGTCTTACCTAACTGGGTCCGGAGAGGCCTGGGTGAGCCTGGCTGTCAGCTGCGGTGATGCTGGGATAACAGACCCGCCCCCCGCGACCCGGCCGGACAGGCGAGAAGAGCCGCAGGAAGCGGAGAAATGGGGAAGGATTCCCTCCTATGCATATTTCATCGGGGTTATTAATATAGCTACAGAAACGTAATGAGAACAGGTATATTTGGAGTATTATTTCGTTTTTAGGTGAAGTACAGTCTGACATTTACAGATGCCGGTGAAATAACAAAAGCTCATCTGTCTGTCCTTCTGGGGACAATTAGCAATGCAGTGGTTCCGCTTCAGCAGACGTTTGAAATTCATTTCATTCAGGTAAGGTTGGTCAGTTTTGTACCAGTACCTCATTGCCAAATAAAAAGAAATCCTAGCTTGTTAGTGGACAAACATCTCAACTGAGAAGTATCCCCACATCTAACCCCCATACTGCACATAGAGCTGGTGCATAGCATGTGGTGTTTGTTAGGGGCCGTGTGTCCTTTTCCATCTGGGACCCAGGTTCCCTTGCATGTGCGCTTGTTCCTGACAGCACGACGTGCTCCTACACTCAGAGATACATTTATAGTTCTGAGTAGGGGGGAACATTTTCTTTCATTGTTTGGTAATCCCAGATTTCATCATGAAAAGCATTTCACTCCCCCCCGCTCACCCACACCACTTCCTCATTAAAATGAGAATTGTTTGGGGGCATTTCTGTATTGTCTTTCAGCAAAGCACGAAGCCGGTTCCTCTCAGTGGAAACCCCGGTTACGTGGTGGGGCTGCCACTGGCTGCCGGATTTTGGCCTCCCACGGGGTATCCTTTTTGGTTCTGTGGAGAAGGTCGATTCTCCGTCCACATGCGGGAGCCGTACTTCTCTTTCTCCGTCACGGAGGGTCCTGTGGGCAGGAGAGACTGGTCTCAGCCAGAGCTGCCCCTGCGTGGCTCTGGTGCGGGGGTTCTGGCTGCACAGCAGAGGGGCCGGGTGGAGACCGGCGGTGAGGGGTGCAGCAGCATGGCCCAGGAAGAGGTCAGTGTGCTATGATGAAACTCTTAACACAGAAGAGCTGACAGACAGATGTATTGCATTTCACACTTTAGGGACTCAGATTTAATGCCTTTGAAAACTTGGAATTAATTTCAAAGGGCCAGTTTCTGAGGCTTTTTCTTCTGAGGATCTTTTAATCAGGGAAAATAGAACCGTTTCTTACCCTCTCCTGGGAAATAGCTGTCAAAAGGCCCGGAGTAGGGATATTTGGGTCTTATTCATGTCTCAGTTCACACATGTGCCACCGTCTCCTGAGAATGAGACTGCTTTCTTACTGGGTGATCGTCCCTAACTTTCTGTGTATGTCGGGGATCATTCAGACCATGAATCGATACGGACAACTTACTGTTCTTCGTAGCACAGCTGAGCAAGACTGCTTAGCAATAGAGGGCATCCGGACCCCAGTATTATTTGGTTACAATATGCAATCGGGCTGTAAATTAAGGTAAGGAAGTTAAGTTGTTTCTATTGGAACTTGTTTATGTTGACCAGAAAATAAAACATTTCTACCCCATCCATTGCAATCAAACCTCTGCATCAGCCGACACCTATGAAAGCCACAATGTAGCTTATTAATGGATAGTAGCAATAATGACAATACCTTATAATGATGTCAATTTTTGTTCTCTAATTTTAATTCTCAGAACCATAAACTATTTGTCATGATTCAAAGGGAAGCTATTACAATCATTTTAAAAATCAAATATGGCAGAGTAAAAATCTCAAGGGTTTGTGTGTGTTGTTTTTGAGGTTGCATAGCACTTGAGCTCACAGCAGAAATATTTTCCCTGAGAGTCCTTCCCATGTTTCTGAATTTTTGTGTGCTGTACACAGTATAATCCAGTGAGAAGAATCTTAAATGCAATCTGTTTTTAATTTACTTTTTTATTATCAAACATGTACATAATGTAAAATGTCAACTAACTCTGCGTGGCTTGTTATAAAAACAGCAGTTCTTACCCTCACGTGCCCCAACCCAGAGGCAATCACTTAACTCTTGTAGCTGATTTTTAAATTTACCCTCAGATCTTTAAATTACCTGCATATGATGCAACTTCTTGGTATTTTGTCTTTATGAATGATTTCTTGGGTTTCCACTGTGGAAAATGAAGATTCTGCTCTTTTTCCTTTCACCCTGTACCCCACCACCCACTCACTTCCCACCCCTGCATCTCCCCAGGACAATTATATCATTATTTTGGTTAGACCAAATAAATATTCTGATCACTTTAGACCAGCAATTCTCAAAGGGGGTTCTGTAGAATATATTTGCACAAGACATCAGTAGGGGTGGGTCTATGGTCAGTATGTTTGGGAAACACCAAATTAAGTTAAAAACACAATTCCTTACTGCAGGACTTCTCAGAGCCTTTACTGTAGGACTTCTCAGAGCCTTTACTCTGCCAGTATGCTTCAGGAGGGACGTGGGTGTGCAATGTTCCCCACACGTTGGGCCATGGAACCCTCCTTGTACAGAGCCTCCCGATGGAGCACAGGTTGGGAAACATCGTTTTGGATTCATCTGCCTGGCCAACCAAGATTCTCAAAGTTAGAGACATTTTGGCTTCTTTCAAACAATCCACCTTTTGGAGAGTGAGAAAATAAAGAAGCTGGAGAGAGCACACGTGCTGTCGAGGCCTGTGATCACTGCGGGTGGGAACAGCAGCCTCATTCCACTGACCTCCTTTTCCTTCCCCAAAGGCTGACTAGAGCGACCACGTGTCTGCTTGTCGCGGAGAAGATGAAGAGCCTGCTGAGGGGCCAGGGCTTCCCAGATTTTGTGGCCCCTTTTGGAAATTCCCGGGCCCAGGATGTGCTAGACTGGGTGCCTGTCCACTTCGTCACCCAGGCATCCCACGTGAAGGTAAAGGGAGAAGGTGAAGGCCATGTGCTAGGGCCCCTCCTGCCTCCACGCTCCTCTCTCGGTGGGGAGCTGGAGAGGAGCTTGGGCTTTGTCATCTGCTGGACCTGGGTCTTGAATACTGATTTTGCCCCTTGTTAACACTGTCGCCTTTAGCCATTGATTTTATGGGTTTGAGCCTGTTTCCTCATCTGTTTCCCATTACTGACCTGGGCTTGTTGAGCTAATGGGGTAACACTCACGGTGCCTAGTGGTCACTCCATAAATGGGAACCACCACCGATCACCGTCCTGACCATTCTCACTCTCACTGTTGGTGTTAACACGAGGCCTCTAGGCGGCACACGAGATGAGGGCGAGGACTGTCTCAGAGTGATTGAGACACCCTCCCACCCCCATAGCTGTCTCATCCATTGTTCCCTGGTCTATAAAAGTGGCCCACTCGTGAGAGCTTTCAGTTCCAGAGTTCCCAAGAGTTTAATGGAAGTTGACATCCTGCAAATAGTTTCCTGATCACATGTGATTCTTCTGCCCACCTTTTTCTTTTGTCTCAGCAGTCAAGAGTGTGGGCCAGCCCCCGTCACCGTCACCGGAGGTGTGCTCTCCATTTTATCCTTTAATTGCCCAGCTTTTTCTTGTCACAGTTTCTTCAGGCCTCTCATTATCTGCTTAGCATATTTATAGCATGGTGACAATGGGGGCGAGGACTAGCTCACTAGCTCTGATCCCGCCCTCTCCACCAAGCCCCCAGCAGAGACCTGTGATTTCTCAGTCCCTGCTGTTCAGCTGCTAAGTCTTGGCTCAGCTCCGCTGCCTCAGTGAACCAGGCAAATTACTTCTAGCTCCTCAGAGGTGGGTGAAGACATCCAGTTATTACTTCCCCTCAGAAGGGAAAACAGGTTGGGAGGGGCAGCAGTGCGACGTTAGCTTTGCCAGGGTCCTGAGCTGATCCAGGGAGCTCAGAGGGCCCAGAGCTGGTTTTGTACCAACCTTCCAGGAAACCGGGTCAGTGGAGGCCTGAGAGGACCTGCTAAGCTCGGTTATAACAGCTGCGTGTCGTATCTCCTAATAACAGGATAGTCTCAAGGATCTTTCAGCTTGCAAATTTCTTAAAAGGCAGTTTGAAGCTAAGCAATTCCACCAGTGCCTTTTGGGCAGGCATCAGAATTAGGAGGCCTGTTAGCTTTTTATGCCTTGAAAAGATGTATTTTTAAAAACTTGTTATCGTGGCACATTTTCAAACATACACAAAAGTAGAATACAATGGAATCCCCTCTGCCCCTCATGCAGCTTCGACAGCTGTCACATTTGCCAACTAGAGATCTAAAGGAGGGTAAAAGGAAGGTGGCAAGGCCCGCTCACCCACTTTTCTCTGGGGGCTGACCAGACAGCGTCCCACCTGGCACCTGTGCTCTCGGTTCACACGGAGAGTTGGTAACATCTTTGACAGCTTACAGGCTCTGCCTGCGAACCCCAGTGCAACATCTTGATTGACAGATGAACTCAGATAAACGAAAAGAAGGCACATTTCCTCTCAGTGCATTTTAACGTGATATGCAGTCAGGTTTCATTTCTATTAATAATACCATCCTTTCTCCTCTCCACCCAATGCCAGTTTCTCTCCTAATGTATCTCTGAGTTAGATGTAAACATGTAGGTGAAGTTAGAGCAGGTAAGGCCCTGAAGTTTCCACAATTGAGTATTGGGATTACAACTCCCAGGGTAATGCTGGCCTCTTTAGAAATGGATAGAAAAATGTGTTTTAGGTGCTAAAATATTTTTGGAGCGTTGAATACTTTAAAATGTGCTTTCTCTAAGCAGTTTTCATCTGAACTTCTGTTCTCTCGTTCAGAACATTTTGTAATATATGAAACATTTTATAATTAAAACTCTGAACTGCAGGTTAAATTTGACTTGAGGTTGTGTAATATTCAAGTGGATTAATAGCACTTTGTTTTGCAGGATTCTTGCCAGCTCCCAGTGGCTTTAGTTATAGAAGTGAAGTGGACTAAATACGGATCTTTACTGAACCCACAGGCTAAAATAGTCAACGTAACTGCAAATCTAATTTCATCCTCATTTCCTGAGGTAGGCCTAACTTTAGTTTCAAGATATAGGTTAAGGGAGCATTTGAGATTTTATACCCCAGCATGTTCCGTCAGTTTGGCTCAAATAAACTCTTATTTAAAAAAAAATAATAAAGGCAAAGGTTAAGATACAAATCCAGACAAAACTCAAGTGTGATAGTGAAATTTATTACTTTGAAAAAGATTATAATTAAAATTTAAACAATTTGGATTCTTAAACAGTTTAGCAGTCATTATCTTAGAGAAAAAAAACTGCACGGACAGTGGTTTTATTCACAGTAGCATTCTTGTTTAGATTTGATCTTTAAAATTATTGTGAAAATTGAATTCTGATCGACATCGATGTGTTAGGACAACCTGGGTAGAAACTACTGACAGTGGTCGGGTGAGGAAGAGAATGAAAGGTGCCCCATCTCTGTTACGCTGGTAGCACACTGGACGGCAAGGCTCGCATCACTGACTTTTTGTTTCAGACCAACTCAGGAAATGAAAGGACGATTTTTATTTTCACTGCGGTTACTTTTGTGGATGTGTCTGCACCTGCAGAGGCAGGCTTCAGAGCTCGGCCAACCATCAATGCCAAGCTGCCCTTTAATTTCTTCTTCCCGTTTGTTTGACGTAAGTCGCTAGTTAAGGAAACGGCGCCACACCTCCAGAACAGAGTGGGGGCGGGGCCCGGGATCCCTTGGAAGCGGCCCATTTTATTCCGTTTCTGACCCTTGCGGTTGCGCCCAAACCAGCACGCCTCTCCTCTCCACTCATTTATCTCCTTCCAGAAGTTTTATCCTGCTTGGTCTGGCTCTAGAATGGGGCACCGTCTGGTCTTGGTCATTTCCAAAGCTCCCAGCACGTAGGTCACAGGTGGAAACCACACCACATCTTTGGGAAGACTGTATAGAGAGCAGACTCTGAAGTAGCATGGGCGCTGCGGGCTTGTCCAGTTTACTTGTCCCTTGCTTTAATGTGAGTTATTTTAAAGATAATCATTGTTTTCTGTTTTCTTTCCTTTTCAGGTCCCACTGAAATGAGTACAAAAATAGGAAAGTATTGTATAAAATTATGCAAGTAGAGTACAAGGCCTCAGGAGGGGATCTTCCCCCAAATGTCATGTTAATTACAGTGGAATCTTGGGTCCAATGACATTTCTGTACCAGGCACTCTTGCTAGCTCGCTCTCCAGCTGGTGGGCTGGTGTGGGCTGCCACAGAGCAGTTCCAAGCAGCTGAAGCTGGGAAGAATATAGTAGGAGGGCCCGCAGGAAGGAGAGAGTTTATTTTATACATTAATTGTACAGTAATTGAGAAAAATGGTGTCAGGTGGAGCCAGCTAGAAGCTGGATGATGCAGCTGGATGATGCAGAGGAGGGGGCTGGGTACTTGAGAACAGCCTCCCCGGGAGAACTCGCAATAAGAGAAGCTGTTTAGAACATCCTGGACATATATAAGGCCTTTCTAGAATGGGCGGGTAGCCAAGGTAGCTTTTTTTTTTTGGTCTTTCACAGTGCTCATATGAAAGCATGCACTGGTTCTTCAAGATCCATGTGAAGTATGAAAACTGTACATTTGATGAGATTAAAATTTATATACAACTAGTAATTGTCTGGCTTTGTTCATTTTCAAGCAAGAATTAAAGTGTTTAACATGAGAAAACATAGCTTATGATACATTTGTTAGACAGTGCAGGTGGGAACGGGATGGGAGGCTCTCGGTCACACCAGCGAAGAAATAGAGCTTCTGACAGACCATGTCCCCAGAATCCAGGCTGGGTGGGAGGCGGGCACAGGCATCAGGCCACACCCGTCCTCCAAACGGCCCCGGGAGTCTCTCATCAGGGGCACAAGCCCACGAGGAGGCAGGGTCTTCTCTTTGCAGCAGAGCGGGTACCCTCTAGTTCACCTCCCCAAGAAGTCCGTGCTGTCTCAGTAGCTTGTTAAGTCTCTCGATTTCTTGTTCCTGTTATTACAAAAGCAGACAAATAACTGGGTTTACTTTCTGAGCCTCACCAGGGATGTGACAATCATTCAGTGGGCCCCAGGCACAGGGACACGGCGCTGAAGGAAGGCTACACTTCTTGTGGATTCAGTCCACTGAAGGAGATTGCTACTGTCAGATGGGGTCCCAGGGACAATAGCAGTGACAAGGATGGGTGCGTGGCATAGTTCTGGGAAGGAGGCGCTGCCTAAGCCGACTCCGAAAGGACCAGGGAGACAGCCCAGGGGCAGAGCACTGCAGGCTAAGAGCAGCTCACAAGCAAAGGCCTGGCGGTGAGAAGCACCATGCTGAAGGCGGGAGACTGCAAACAGCCAGCATTTTCCCATAAGTGTTTTCTTACCTTCTCAGAGCAGCTGAATTCAAGATGTTGGATCTTGGCGGCCAATTGTATATTAATCTGTTTTAATCTTAACAGTTGCCGTTCCGATCGTGTCTTAACTGAGATAATTATCCCTGAAAAATAATTGAGGGTCTCAATGATTCTGGTTTCCAGTATAACCACTTAAAAAAAAAGTCTATTATAAATGTATACAGTTTGGAAGATGGTGACAGACAAGTAAAAAACAGTTATCAATAAAGGCATCAGAACTAAGAGGGTCAGATTTTTCATTTCTGAGCTACTCAGTACCTAGTTGTACAATATTTCTCTTTAGTTCCCATGGGCTGGAAAATCCATAGAAATAATCACTGACCAGTTGAGCATCAAGTTCCTTAACACAGCTCATTCATGATGGCACCGCTGCTTAGCAGTGTGCACAAAACCCACAAAAGTACAAGGCTGGAAATACTCGAGTTTGGGGCTGGGATTGCCACTTTCCTACAGTGGTGGCCATGTTAGTCGTCAGGCGATAACCTAAATCTTGGCTAACAGCGGGGTCATCTGATGGCTCCCAAATGTCCACACCACAGTGGGGATACTGTCTCAAAAGACTGCCACAACAGGGGGATGCTATGCCCCTTTCCAAGGAAGAGTGACAGTATCTGGGCCCGTTAACCCACACATGTGCCTGTGAGGCCCGGGAGCAACAGGCCCTGGTCCCGGCGTTCTTGGTTGTCATACTGGGTCCAGTTTAACCCAGTGTTACTTTTTCAGACCTTTCAGGCCATGCCGCTAAATATGACAGCAATGCGATAATGAGCGTTAGCCAGTCCTATGCTCCGCTACCATTTAGACAAAGTAAATGAACAAGTTCCAGATGGTTTTGGTTTTATCTGCAAAAGCGAATCTCACCAAGGTGTGACAAGAGTAATGGCAGTAACTGTGGCTCATGAGTCCTTTATAATCAGTTGTGGTTTATCTACCTCAATTGTGCATAAACTCTGTACAGAGTATTTTTCTATTCGATTAATGAAATTATCAATTAGCATAAGCATCTTCGATAGTATCTGAAAAGCTTTTATTTCCTTTGACAGAACCCAAGTGGATGTTCTTCACTTCATGAGCTTTCTTTTAATCACTAGATCTGAACTCACCCCTAAAACCCACAGTGCCCACAGGCAAAGCTGTTCAGATAGCCTCACACGTGAGCAGACATGGCCCTCCACCTGTGCGGTCTCGCCCCAGCCAGTAGGCTGTGACAGAACCCGCTGTGCCACCAAAGAAAGGAACTCTGTCAGGGCACGGCCTGCTGCAAACGGGCCGCGCTGCTGCTCGCTCACTCCCAACAGACCCACGGCGTATCGTGCTGGGCCCTGGTCCAGCGGTCCCCAAACCTGGCTGGACACTGAAATCACCTGGCAGTACCTCAAAGACAGACACCCTGCCTGGGCTCCACCCCAGGCCTCTGCATCAGTCTCCATTATTTTTAAAAAGTGTTCATTGAAGGTGATTCTGACATAGCAGGTCCATGGGCAGGCGTTTGAGCAACTCTGACTACACTGACAGCTGAACAGTTAACTAGCTGGTGATCACTGTCACCTAAAGTCACAGTCGTCCTGGCTTCCCTGAGACAGAGGCTCCCCACACCAACAGGGTGTGCTCCCCAACAGGGTGTGCGCCAGGAATAGGATTTCTACCTGAAATGTGGTAAAGCAGGATTGTCCCAAGTGTGTTCTCCAGGGCCACAGTCTATAGCACGCGACTAGGTGTTATTTCCCCAGAAAGTGTCAAATCGGTCAGTTTGGAAAACTATGGCAGTTCTCAGAGCCTTCATCATGCAAACGCGTGCTGTGACTTTCTCAAAGGGGGCAGGACCTAACGCACAGCATTTCAGCTTCTCTACACCCCTTCTGGTGTGCCCCTCCCAAAGTGAGATAGGGTTTGATAGGAAACACCAACGTGAAAACAAAAGTTGCTCCGGGAGCCAAGCTGGAGGGACCAATCAGGGGTGAGTCTAACCCTTTCCACAAACATCTAGTGATCGTGGAAACAGGACCGAAAGGAGAAGGGTAGTTCCTCTCAGAGCACATGGCTCGGTGTCAATTCGTAGCCACAGAGGTGGCGCTGGGACACCAAATCAGACCACTTCACTTTCTTGAGACTGCGGTGAGGAGGAGACAGGAATCGTAATGGAAAGCACCACAGCAGCCTCTGCGCCCACTCTCGGCTCCGCCCACTCTCGGCTCTGCCCACTCCCGGCTCCGCCCACTCCCGGCTCCGCCCACCCTCCGTCTCTGCTCGGGAATCCGCGAGCGCAGGGGACCTACCATTGATGATCCGGGCCACTCTCCACAGCCGGAGCAGAATCAGCAGGCCGAGAGCCTCAAACTCGTGCTCACGGAACAGGAGGACAATGTCAAGGATGAAAGAAACCACCACGACAATGGCATCCAGGATTTCAAACTTGTGGTGTAAGAACTCCAAACGGAAGGCATATATTTTAAAGGAAACTTCCATCATAAAGAAGGTCAAGATGGCAATGCTTATGTAGTGGAATAGCTGAAGGAGACAAGGAGGCACAGTGAGAGCAGATCCAGGCTGGTCACAGGTTGGGGCAGGTCACACAGACCAGCTGGCCTCAAGTGCCCCTGCTTGGTCCCCAGAGAGAGATTTCATACACTGACCAATCCGAACTCCTGCCAGCACCACGCGCTGTTCTCTGGCTGGCAGTATAGCTGGGAACGCCACAGACAGGGCTCTGCTCTTCCATGGGCAACTGTGTGGTGGCAGCAAACATCCACCACGCCTATTGGCACAGCGATGCCATTGCTAGGAATTTATCCTATGGCTAAGTTCACACGTAGACAAAGGCCTGTTGTGAGGCTATTTACTGCAGCATCGTTTGCAGAACGATAGAACTATCTGTTAGAGGGCACTTGGCAAATGCATCACAGAACCTCCATATGCAGCACTATGCAATTGTAGAAAAGACCCAGGCTGATCCATGTGTATTGATTAGAAATGATCAGCAAGGTAGACCGTAAATGAAGAGTTCCCAGGTCTTGATTTATAAATGCTGGTCTTCACTAACAAAGTGAGCTGGGATGTCATCTCGGGCCTGCAAGCAAGGAAATGCTCAAAGACTAGGGAGTCATGCCAGACACAGCAGTCCACTCCAAGAGGCTCACAGTGACAAAATTTGGGACCATTTGAACGTCGAAAAGAATGACTATGATCGTAATACTCTGAATACACACACACAGACAGACAGACACACACACACACACACACACACGCAAAATCCCTGAGTCCATAGCAAGTAATTGTGCACACACAGGAAAAAAAAAGGAAAGCTCTACTTTACAAAAGAATATCAACTACTAGATGTAGAAGGAAAGAGAGAAATCATTGGTTTGCATCCCTCTGTGTACTCACTGCCCAGCCTGTGGATGCTAACTGGGGAAGAAGACACTTGCAGGGTGCCGCAGTGTCCCTGAGCAGATTATTTGTAACTGCAAAGGGAAAAGTGTCCCTGGACAGCAGAGCAGCCCAGCATTCACGACCTTAATCAAGTGATCTTACAGGGTATCAATAACAGTCGACCCCTGGCCCCATGCGCCACAATATAAAGACAACAGCTCACCAGCGAAGAACTAACTGTACAAGACTCTGGACTAACCTCTAGTTACAGGAAAATACAGAGAATAAAGGGACAACTTAAAGGACTTCTGAGGAAACAGTCTGACAAATCCAGAATGCGGGACACTGTATAAGATGATTGGCTGGACTCTTCAAACAGTCAATGTCATGAGAAAAAAAAAAAAGGTGAGAAAATATAACTAAATATAACATCAAATGTCTGGATCCTCGTTTGGAAAAAAAAAGCACTATAAAAGACATTCTTGGAATGAATGAGGAAATTTGAATACAAACTGGTTATTAGACATTAAGGAGTAATTGATAATTTTTAAGATGTGATAATGCTATTATGGTTCTGTGGGAGAAAGACCTTGTTCAAAGTATTGAGGGGTGAAGTGTTGTGATGTCTAACTTACTTTCAAACGGTCGGACAAAAATACACGGGTGTGTTTGTGGATATGTCTAGATAAAGCAAATCTAGCAAAATGTATAATTGCCTTTTTTCCTTAATAAAAAGTTGAAGAAAAAGAAAGGCACAAGACAGTGAATATAGCAGGTATGTGACTGATTCTGTTGAAAAACAGAGAAAAGAAGTTCATCAATGGGAGGAAAGGGACCTCGAGTAGTAAGAAGGATGTTTAATATTTTTTTCCATCCCTTCTATCACTTGAAAAGACATTTTTCCATTATCGGTTGAATTTTGTTTTTAGAAAAAGTGTGTAGGGAGACACTTTTCAGGCCCTGGCCTTCTCCCATGTTCCTGATGACAGGGGCCACATACGGTGCGTTTTTGGTGAGTCCACTGCCCCTTGGGGAAATGTCTGGGGCGGACTCAGGCGGGAACTGTGAATTCGTGGGCACATCCCCCAAGTGGCTCCATCCTAGGGACCACATAGGAACATCTGCAGGAGGAGACAGAGCGTGTCTGCCTCTTGGGGATGGGAAAGTAGCACTGTCCTCTAGAATCCCATGCTCCAGCCCAGTGGTCTGGGTTAACTCAAGAGTCAAGCCATTGGGGTAACTGAGAACGTCTCCTGCTTGTAGTAAATGCTTATCCATAATTTGGAAAGGAAGGCATTTTCTCTGCTCTTTGGCTAAAAGTATCCAGTCAGTCAAACTACTCATAAGGCCTGGCGACTCCAAGGCGAGTGCTGTCTGCACCACTCTGCCCTCTGTCAGTGTGGCTAACGGAAGTGAACCGAGTTATAGGGCTGCTGACACCTTACCCTGGGTGCATAGTTGTTCTTGTCAGGCTGGATGATCCTCAGGTCCAGAATCAGCTCGGCCAGCACCAGGAGGGCATCCAGAATGACCAGGCAAATGATGATAACCTGCGGGCCGAGGGAGGAGCAGGAAACCATGAGACATAAGTGGGGACCCTCCTTCCACCTGGAACAGCTGGTTTGGAAACATCTAGGCGAAACCACTGGGGAAAAATGCCAAGGCTGGGAAGCTGCTGCCCACAGCCCGAGCGCCCTGCAGGGGGCCTGCTGGGGGCCAGCTCCTCTCACAGAAGCCCCTCCTTCTGCCGCCTTCCTGGCCTGTCCGCCCCCAGGCAGTGCCCGTCGTAGAGCTGCTCTGTACAGCTCACTGACCCTCGGTCACCGCTTATCTTTCTCTTACTTGTTCACTGCTTCCCAGCATCTCTCAAACCAAATTGCTAATTCCTAGATGGCAAAAAATATATAAGTAATCAAAAAGTTTTGACACGTTTATGTTTTTCCAGTTCTAAGAACTGTTTTTGCCAGGGTAAGCCCAGAACAGATGCTCAGTAAATAATTAAGAACACCCAGCCTCAGAGATCTGAGTGGTGGAAGGACCTCCAGGGACTGCCTTCCTCAGCCGGCCCGGTTAAAGCGATATCCGCTATGCACATAAAACAGCTTCCATCCAGAGCTGTGGGACAGCAGCCCCAACACGGGGTGGAGTGAGGAGGGGGCCGGGAGAGGCCAGGGGGACTGGGAAGGGCTATGGGGAAGGCAATCAATCTCATGACCTGCCGGCCGAGGAGGGCAGTGGCAACCAGGCCGGAGTGAGCAGGTGACCTCAGTGATGGTGGTGATCATGGCAACGTCTTGAGGTGGTGACGACTTTGGCGAGGGCGCTAATGGGAAGGAGGGAGGTGACGGTGTTCAGGGAGACCCTGGGGATGACGTGGTGGTGGCGGAAACGGCAGCAATGGGAGGAACCCCAGAGGACACTGCGTAATCCCTCTCTTCCTTTTGAAATCTTGGACCATCACTTGCTTCCCTGGGGCCTGCCTCTTACACTCTCAGGTAGACAAATTTGGGCTCTGAAAGTTAATCTGCCGTTATCTTGGCAGTGTCTGCAGTTTCAGGATGAAATTCAACAAGTTCGGGCCTATATAAGAAAGAACTATTAAGTTACAAAATAGTCACAGGGACATAGAGTACACAGCACAGGGGACATAGTCAATAGTATTGTCATGGCCTGTGCAGAGCCAGAGGGGTGATGTAGAGAGCGACTGCGGAGGGGCGGCGGGTCATTTCATAAACCATATAAATGCCTAACCAACGTACTGTAAACCTGAAGCTAATATAAATGAAAACGTTTTAAAAATAAAATTTAAAAAAGACTAACAAATCTTTTGACCATTTCAAACTGTAGCTAATTATTTCAGTAATTAAAGTATTTGATGACGTGGTTTATTGTGAAAATTGCATGGCAAATTGCTTGGTAATGAAGTTTTTGCACATATCCAAATTCAGTAACTTAATAAAGAGGAAAGCCTCTGGTGGGTGGGTCCTTCCTTCCTTC